AGTAGGGAAATTCTCTATTCTTAGATTTTAAAAATGACAACTTAAATTTTAGGGAAACTCCCCTTATGTACATAGCTGTAACCACAAATGATCACAATGTAATTCTTAAAAAAAAGAAAAAGTTTTGTTGGCACATAGTCCACATATCGAACAATTCAATGGTTTAATCGTATCGAGAAGGGTTCTGCAATCGTCCCTGCAATCACTTTTAAAGCATCTCCTTCTTTCTTGTGCTCATCTTATCACCTCCCCATTCCCTTCCAAGCTCTCCTGCCCCACTCTCGAGAAACCATGAGCCCAGTTACTGGCTCTGCAGATTCACCCATCCTGCATTTCATACACTAAAACCCAATAAAACTAACAACTAAAGCGCTAACACCGATAACAAAACAGAGATGAAAAGGAAGCGGAAAATATTAAAAACCAGAACAACTTTAAAATGAATCAAAAGGGAAACCAAATGATAAGGTGATAAATTAACCTAACCATATCAGCCATAATCTACTTTCCAATGCACGCTGCCTGATAGCAAGGCTCTTCATCACCTCACATGTGTCCCCTTCACTGTTTTTCAACTGATACAATTTTTAAATGAGTCTAAAGGTGGATCAAATAAGATGTTACATTTTAACCCAACTATATCGACTATGATCATTTCTACAATAGTCTCTTTCTAGTAACAAGACTATTCGCATCTCTTGATCATGGTCAGAGTGGATTCTCCAGAAGCTTAATCTATATGTGGACCCTGAAGATAGGTGTGGGGCTTCCACTGTCATCCATAGTCTTCTGCAAACCAGTGTTCACAACACAATTTAAACTCTGATACCATTCCCTCCTTCAGATTTGTATTATGTTATTTACAATCCTTAGATCACACAGGCTGGTATGCTTCTTCCATCTGGACTTAATGGAGGCCTCATTTAGATGGCTGCAGAGTGTAGTTCTGGGTCCAGGTTTCCTTGACTGTTCACAGATAGAAAATCTAAACATTCAACTTGTTACTACACTTTCCCCTGCCTGTTAAAATCCACTAACCTAAAGTTAGAGAAAATCCATTATCTTTCTTGGACTTAGTGAAGCATAAATTTTTCTGGAAGCATTTTCTGATAGGTTTTCCTTAAGTCTAAAAAGTTGGCTTGCTTTGGGGACACTGAGCTTCTGTTAAAGGTAATGGAAAATTTCAAGAATGGTTAATGATGATGAATGAACAAAGTGGACGGCAAAAGTAATGCTATTAAACTGTACATGTGAAGATTGTTGAAGTTGCAGACATGTTGGTACTTTTATGCTTATCACACACATGCCTATTTTCTCGTTATAATGGAGGTTTTTAAAAAATAAACTAATGGAAAGCTATGTGGAACCACGGTTTGGGGTATAACTTTCCTTGAGAACTGTAGCATCCAGGCTTTGAGCACTGAATCTGAAATCAGGATAATTAGAGTCCAGATCTGGTACTCTGACCACTAAATCTTGTGTCCTTGGAAAGCCACTATATTCATCCCAAAAATGCGGATAATAAAGCACTAATCTGTCTAATGGGTTGCTGTGATGACCAGATGAGATAGCACATGAGAGTTTGGCCCTAAATTATAGTGTGAAGCATGGTTATCTATGAGTGGTGGACCTTTTGGCTATTGAAATATTCTTCAAAATCCATAATTCATCATTTTAAAAACGAACAGTTAGATTTTACTTTAAATGTTATATATTTTTAAAGAATGTATGCAGTATTACACAAATAGAAATGGCTATATGTAGTATTATTTTTATGTTAAGGGATAATTTTATAATTTCACCAAATAAAATACATAAATTGCACATTCTAAATTTCATAAACTGATGATGGCATATGAAGGTAAGTTAAAAATGTACTGCTGTGTGCATGAGCTTGTTCCAAACAAAACATTTCAATATATCTTTGCAATTAATGGATGGCTGCAAGCAAGTTTTTGGAGACATACACAGGCTGCCCTCCAAAAAAGGTCCAGTCAAAATAGTCATGTCCAACAGGATCTCCTGGGCCAGTTTAATTCAAAGCAGAAAGGTCAGAGAGGTTATGTTGGCTATTTGGGAAAGTTTCCAAAGTGATAATCTTAATAGATTTTCTCAGAGGACATGGAATGATTTATTTATTATGAAAAAGTTTTAGGAAAATGAAAAGTGCATCAGTCAGGGAAATTCTGTGTCCTTTGAGAACATCCTAATCTCTATGCCTGCTGTTATACTCATTTGGGAATAAATTGTCTCTGTTATATGCAGAAGGCAGGATTAGGATGAGGGTGTATATAAAATCAATCTCTTTTGAGATGTCAAGGAGATTAAACAAGCAATCAAACGAAGTGAAAAGTGGAAGAGACATGCCATCCACATGAAGAGGATGTGAGAACAATAGCTCCCAGGAGACCAGGACTTCATCCAGAGCCAACATCGGGAGAAAACCTTGCTACGGACTCAGGGCTCTGAAGCCACATTTCTAGCCTCCTGAACTGGGGAAAAATTAATTTCTGTTT